GTATATTGAAGATAATTTAGTTTAGATGGGGAGTTGAGAAGTTGGACGTAAGAGGGTTGGGAACTTGATTGCGTATAAGTTCAACTAAGTAAGTAGTGTAAAGTATATTGTGACTTATTGTGCAGAACAGTTCAACTGTTGCTGATAAGCTAATAAGGAGTCTACTAAATAGATGAAAAGGGGTTAAATGTTAAAACGTAGGGCTGGGGAGGCAGGGTACGGTGTTTATGTTTTGGTTGTAAAACGTGCGGTGTGTGGCCTTGACATTGTGAGTTAGTCTGGATAATCGACTTTACACTGTAATGTGTGGCTGGATAGGGATGTTTTAAAGGGTTTATTCTGAATTTAAGGGTGCCTAATTTTGTTTGGTGTTTTGATATTTTGTTTTCAGACCCAGTCTGGTAGTTATTGAGTAATTTGGTTTCTTCTAGTAACTGCTATCTAGTAGGTACTAGTCTTTGCACCTATGGCATTTTTTATATATTGTAAGGAGTTTAGTTGGGGATGAAGAAGGACGGGAACCACTCACTCCAGTGTGTACATGATAAATGTTTTGTAGATGTGTAGGAGGGTTTATTTGGCTGCAGTGACCTCAATGCTCACAAATATGAAAGATACATTTTAGAAAGTCCGATATGCTCATGTGGACTAGCAAAATGAGGATAGTTTTCACTTTTTCTTTACTTGTCCAATATATACTGTAACTCGAAATAACATGTACTTTTACCAAAAGGGATATACATTAGACTCAGTACTATTCGGAAATGCCCATGCAACTGCACCTGTAAATATGCAGATTCTTGAATCTGTTCATTTATATATATCGTAAAATCAGGCAGATTTGACGCCCTTTTCTCATTTGTCTGTCTGCATCCCAGTGAATGTCACCTATTGCTCTCATTCGATTTGAATCGTTTTGACATGAGTTGACCAAATTATAATTAAGATGATACAGGTAGATAGTTCCATGTATTGAACGAGTTTCAAGTCCTCCTCTGGAAACGAAAATGTTACGAAAGGTTAATTGGATACACGCGTAACCAATCACTTTTTCAAAACCTATGCGACCACGTCCAGCTGTAGCCTTTACTTTACTTTTATTCTCAATAGACAACCAATAGTGGTATAAGAGTACATATCACACACATCAATTATTACATACAGTCAAAATGGCGGCGGAGGGTAACAATATATTGTAGAAAACCTGTTGGTATAACATGTCTATTATCTAACTTTTGTCAGAAGAAAACATGGCGGAAAAAATGGGTTTTGATAGATATTTTGATGGCAGAACAGGTTTGAAATTGGCGGACCAAAGTGTCGCTTACATTATAATAATTGGCGGACCAAAGTGTCGCTTACATTATAATAAAGGAGTTGTATATCCATATAACTTTCCCCGTCGTTAAGCACACCAGCTTCTAAATGCCATCCAAAGATGTTCACTATATATGGCTAGACCAGCGTTTAACTGCGTACTATTTTCAGCTTTGATTAGACGAACGTTTGACTGCATCCTTTTATTTGCTTAGATTACACCATTGACTGTGGAATGGTTCTGTTACTACATTGAGGTACCAAGGTGCTTTAATGTCACGTGCGTCTCCTCCATCTTTGGGTAGGAGCGAATTGGGTTCATGTAGGTGAAGTTCTTCAGTTAATAAATTTCATCGTCTTTTTTAATTCAAAGAAACTACAGCTGTATTTTGATCACCCTGCAATACAATAAAGTGACATAAACATAAATGGTTAAGTTCCCATGCCTCATTTCTAATTCCTTCACTTATAACCAAACAGCGAGAACAGATAATTATTTTTGAATTGTCTACATACGGCTCATTTATAGTGTCACATACTTCAAAACTCTCTGAATGTGATGTATATGTAATGAACTGAGCTGCAAAAGAAACGCAATCTCCAATTTGTTTGAAATGTAAGTGTAACTCACCATTCCATTAAGTTGGAATTGAACTGGTGGCGTACAATAAGGCGTCACAAAACCATCAACAATGAACCTAAAACATGAATATTGCTCTTAGGCGACATATATTTCAATTCACACACTCACTCAGTGATTTTATTTTAGGATGATGGTTTGGATGTGGTTGATTGTCTTAGTGCTGGCCACTCATGGTGGAAATCGCCATGAAAATATACTCGTCACAATGCCTTATTTGTCATAGGTCCCTCCCGTTCATCTGGCACTTCCGACACATTTCTCACACAACATCATAATTCAAAGAAAACCATAGAAAAGAACCAGTCAGACTAGACAATTCGGAAACTTTTGGAAGCAGTACACATCAAGAAGATACGATCCGCTCTCAACAGAGATGAAGGATAGTACATTCCCAATGCCTACCATCACTTGATAAAGTAATCAATAATATTTCTTGTGTACATTATCTGTTTCAATTCAACTATGTACATCAAACCCATCTTTTGTATATACATCCACCTGGCCTCCTATAAATTCTAATTCAGTCCTTGTAGATGACCCTTCTGGCTTCCAATCAACTTACTCAATCTCTTCTACAAGCGTTGTACATCAACCTCATTTATTGTATAAACAACGCATTCCCTATCTACTGTAATAACAACTCCTGTATATATTCTCTCAATTTGTTACTCATGTATCACTTGCTTGACAACGACATTAGAACCTATGTCGAAACATCGCCTCCACAGAATAAAAGAAGTTGTATATCCAATATAATTGTCATTATATTTCATCAACTCAACTTCTAAAATGCCCATCAAAGAAACAATTCAATTGGTTGGTGTGATTAAGTTGGTTAAGACAATTCGAATCCAGTCATGTCATAAAATATGTAATTCCTGAAGTCACATCACAAAATGAACGTTTCCGTTTTTTCACGATATGACTATTGCATAAGTGCAAATTACATGTCAAAGGAAAGTCTACATCTCTATTATATATTCTCTAAACGTCAAGTCATACACCGCCATTCGTGGGCAAGAACATTACTGAAAACCATTTAATACTATCCAGAAATTACGATGGCGACTGAGCTCCCGTTTGTAGTCGATCATGCGCAGACAGCACTGAATTGTGGGTAATATAGCTTTCTCGCTTTCTCGCTCTATCGCGCAATGATATCCCTTTCTCGTCTCGTGCTCTCGCTTTCTCGTCTCGTGTTATCGCTTTCTCGTCTCGCGTTATCGCTTTCTCGTCTCGCGCTATCGCTTTCTCGTCTCGTGTTATCGCTTTCTCGCCTCGTGCTATCGCTTTCTCGTCTCGTGATATCGCTTTCTCGCCTCCGAATTTTAAGGCGAGAAAGCGATGGCCCTAATCAGCCACCATAGATCTCGGCATGAAATGAGCCGCCCGAATATACTGTAATCAGCGCTGTCTAATCCGGCGCGTGGCGAGGATTTGGCTGGATGTGTATTGTCACCAATTAAGCCTGCGTTGAAACTACATGGTTGTCGACAAAGACATTTTAATCTTAGTGCAGCATGGGTATACATGTACATGTAACTGGTGAGTTGACATGTTTTATTGTGATAGAACAATGTATATGAGAGTGACAAAGCTTGTTCACTTCTAGTCGGTAGTAACCGTGTCATCTGTACAATCCGGCGCGCTGTCTAAACCGGATTATTTCTTTAGTCCCGATATAACATACAACCTTGAGGAAATCCAAAAGCTTCTCTAGCTACGAAATATGTCTGTGAGGCAAGCCACAGCGCTTCTTCAGGGTAACACCTCTTTGCTTCGCTAGCTATATAGTCCACGTCTATGACGTTACCGACGATGCTGCTTTAGCTGTAATATACGTCTATGACGAAATCCACAACGATTTCTAGCCTTAACACACGTCTTTGACGAAATCCACAACGAATTCTAGCCTTAACACACGTCTGTGACGAAATCCACAACGTTTTCTAGCCTTAACACACGTCTATGACGAAATCCACAACGATTTCTAGCCTTAACACACGTCTATGACGAAATCCACAACGATTTCTAGCCTTAACACACGTCTATGACGAAATCCACAACGTTTTCTAGCCTTAACACACGTTTATGACGAAATCCACAACGTTTTCTAGCCTTAACACACGTCTATGACGAAATCCACAACGATTTCTAGCCTTACCACACGTCTTTGACGAAATCCACAACGTTTTCTAGCCTTAACACACGTCTATGACGAAATCCACAACGTTTTCTAGCCTTAACACACGTCTATGGCGAAATCCACAACGTTTTCTAGCCTTAACACACGTCTATGACGAAATCCACAACGATTTCTAGCCTTACCACACGTCTATGACGAAATCCACAACGTTTTCTAGCCTTAACACACGTCTATGACGAAATCCACAACGTTTTCTAGCCTTAACACACGTCTATGACGAAATCCACAACGATTTCTAGCCTTAACACACGTCTTTGACGAAATCCACAACGCTTTTTAACCATAACGCACGTCTATGATGTAATCCATAACACTTTTTAGCCTTAGTATACGTCTATATGGCGAACTCCACAAAGCTATGAGACAATCTACATTTCTGTTTTAGCTATAACACGATGCAGTTCACCAAGCTGAAGCTATTGCTTGACGACTTGCATTTATCATTGTGCATAAATGGGACGTTACTAGTTAGAAAATAGGTTACAATTAATCCAACTAGCCTAGAACGAAATGACCAGGCTTGATAGGCCAGCTGTATACAGTTGGATTGTACTTTTTATTTTGTATATTTAAATTTTGAAATACGATGACTTTATGACTAAATGTTAATGTAACAGCAGTACCTTCGCTGACGACAAGTAGGTGTTTCAGTGGAAGACACGGGCACGTACACTGTGTCAGGAGGGGCTGGATTGTAGGATTGGGGAGGGAAGTGGAGGGGGTGTTTCGGTAGAATTCGACCTTGGCAGCTGCACTGTGCTGATCGCACCACGGGCCATACATTGAAACTCATCCCCACAGGTTGCTATGGCAACTCGCGCAATTCCGGTAAAAATAGTAAACTGTGGTCGAGTCCTTCTACCAGTGGCCCACACATACGCCCCATAGCTAACTTAGTCAGACAGCTTCCTTGAACTAGTTAGGCGGGATTTGCTGCCTCTCTCCTCGACACTTTTCACTTACTGCTAGCAAGATGGCGAATTTTATGGCTGCCTCGATGTATTTGAAGATTGCCTTGGTATGCCTGCTGGTGGGGCTGTTGTTGTATATAATCGGCTTCTCCACCGTGTCTTGGATGGTCACCGCTTACACCAGATGGGAAGCCCGTGGTGTATGGAGAGTCTACTCATGCAGAGTGGCTGCCTTCTGCACATATCTGCCCTACGGTGCTTGGAATTACTTTGGACGCAGTGATCTAGGTGGGTAAATCATTTTATTTAATTCCCAAAAACTGATGATAATTGATTCTTGGTCAAATTTGTTCTTGCATGTGTGGGGAAGAGAGTTTCGCTAATGTTTCGTTAATGCTCAAGAGCCCCGATGTTTACAAGCACCATTTCTACACCTACGTGCATCTTCTTATAAATTCATACTTTTAGAGAGCAGTTTGACTGCATTTTATCCTCAGGGCCAGTGTTCCATCTGGGAATGTTTGTATACGCTTGGGTCCCCGCCCGTCCCACGACCAGCATTCCTCGGCAGTGGTTATCGATATGACGCCTGTCTCCCCCATCCCCATCACAGCCCCTCCCCTTCCTCCTCCTTCCGTTCTCAGTTCCCCGGATTCCACGATATCTGATACTGCAGTGCTGCCGTCTCATACCTTATACAAAGGCAGCGGGGGTTGCCGAGTTCAGGTAGTGCCGGCAGAGGGCTGAGATGCAGAGGTCGGGGGGCTGTTGCAGGGCTAGGTTTGATTCCGTCTTCTTACGGTGTCCTTTGTTTATTGTTTTTATGAACTAATCAGTCGAAACAGAATGTATGGCGTAGTTCTGTGATCTTTATAACCTGTTCACGATATTGCAATACAACCTTCCGTTACCATAGTTACCATGTCGCAATTCCCCAAACGTACCGCCCTGAATGTGTCTTTCCCATGGGGACTGGCCGCTGCGAGAGCCTATGTATGAAGACAATGTATTTATTCAAAAGAAAAACTGACCTATGTACTTGGTTTCTTGCTCTGCGCCTAGGCATACCTACATACATATCAGTCACTCATACCTACATACATATCACTCACTCACTCGTACCTACATAAATATCACTCACTCATACCTACATACATATCACTCACTCATACCTACATACATATCACTCACTCATACCTACATACATATATCACTCACTCATACCTACATACATATCACTTACTCATACCTACATACATATCACTTACTCATACCTACATACATATCACTTACTCATACCTACATACATATCACTCACTCATACCTACATACATACATAAATATCACTCACTCATACCTACATACATATCACTTACTCATACCTACATACATATCACTCACTCATACCTACATACATACGTATCACTTACTCATACCTACATACATATCACTCACTCATACCTACATACATATCATCACTTACTCATACCTACATACATATCACTCACTCATACCTACATACATACGTATCACTTACTCATACCTACATACATATCAGTCACTCGTACCTACATACATACGTATCACTTACTCATACTCATACCTACATACATATCACTCACTACATACATACAATACACTACTCATACATACATACGTATCACTTCTCATACCTACATACATATCACTCACTCATACCTACATACATATCATATCACTCACTCATACCTACATACATATCACTCACTCATACCTACATACATATCACTCACTCATACCTACATACATATCATATCACTCATACCTCATACATATCACTTTACTCATACCTCACATACCTATATCACTCACTCATACCTACATACATATCACTCACTCATACCTACATACATATCACTTACTCATACCTACATACATATCACTCATACTCTCATACCTACATACATATCACTTACTCATACCTACATACATATTATATCATCCTACATACTCATACCTACCTACATACATATCACTTACTCATACCTACATACATATCACATACATATCACCTACCTACATACACATCACTTCACTCATACCTACATACATATCACCCACTCATACCTACATACATATCACCCACTATCATACATATCACTCTCATACCTACATACACATCACTCCCACTCATACCTACATACATATCACTCACTCATACCTACATACATATCACTCACTCATACCTACATACATATCACCCACTCATACATACATACATATCACTCACTCATCACCATACCTACATACATATCACCCACTCATACCTACATACATATCACTCACTCATACATACACATCACCCACTCATACCTACATACATATTACCCACTCATACATACACATCACCCACTCATACCTACATACATATCACTCACTCATACCTACTTACATAAATATCACTCACTCATACATACATACATATCACTCACTCATACCTACATACATATCACTCACTCATACTTACATACATATCACTTACTCATACTTACATACATATCACTCACTCATACCTACTTACATAAATATCACTCACTCATACACTACATACATATCACTCACTCATACCTACATACATATCATAAATATCACTCACATACATATCACTCACTCATACCTACTTACATAAATATCACTCACTCATACCTACATACATATCACTTACTCAAACCTACATACACATCACTTACTCATACCTACATACATATCACTTACTCATACCTACATACATATCACTCACTCATACCTACATACATACATATCACCCACTCATACATACATACATATCACTCACTCATACCTACATACACATCACTCACTCATACATACATACATATCACCCACTCATACCTACATACATATCACCCACTCATACCTACATACATATCACTCACTCATACCTACATACACATCACCCACTCATACCTACATACATATCACTCACTCATACATACACATCACCCACTCATACCTACATACATATCACCCACTCATACATACACATCACTCACTCATACCTACATACACATCACCCACTCATACCTACATACATATCACTCACTCATACATACACATCACTCACTCATACCTACATACATATTACCCACTAATAGACATCACAACGACACAGAAAGTTCTGTTACTGGTTGCCACGTGTAACAGCATGTGTTCGGTGAAGAAAACTAACAAGTACGTAATTGACTGTGCAATATCAGGCAATTACCAATGCCCTTTACTGTTCATTAAGCCTAAGTACTGGCTGTCATTAGCACTGGCAATGTTGGAAATGTCGCTGGGACGTTTGAGTGTACAAACTCCCAGGTTGGTGGTTGGTTGGGGTGCGACTCTCCATATTGTACACAATGTTCGTGGCCTCCACAGAGGTCTCTATCCTTAGACTCACGTATGTAGGACCCTTTGTTTGGAAATCTCCGAACGGATCATGGCAATATATGTATGGCTTCGCATTTTTCAAACTTATTTAAGAGCAGCCTGTCTGTGATCAGGCAGCCCGAAGCCGCCCCGAACCCGAACTGTAGTGTCAGTAAGTGAGAACAGATGTCCGCCAGTTTTGCCAGTATATTCCACAAATATCGGGAAACGTCCACGCACTTTATTTGTGGGGAGGTAACTATTTGACCAGCAGACGATCACATCACCCCTGGAATTCACGGAGGGCATGAGTGCAGTTTATGAATCAGAGGAATATGAATATGGATGTGGCTGCGAGGATATTGATCGTCCCTAAATGGGCCCGTCATTACGATAACATTTACATTCGAAGACCTGTGGTTAGATATGATGTATATCTGCACGAGATGCTATGCCTTAGTTGATGTGGTTACGTCTTCATATGCGGCATATTCCAACCCAGATCCCTCAGACGAGGGACAAGTAACTACCTTGTGCTGATACCTGTTGGGAGTGGGTTACCGAGGCATATGAAGTGTTGCCGTCTTTTGAGCGCCTTTAACGACTATCTATGGTCCCAATGCCTGATTGTTACTTACAGCTGCAGAGTGGGTCATCGTCGGCCATTACGTCTATCACTGTCGGCCAGGACGTCTGCATTACGTCTATCACTGTCGGCCAGTACGTCTGTGTGACTTTAAATTTTAACTCACTCACTCCATTACGTCTGTTGAGGAGTGCCCCAGCGGCGGCCATTACGTCAGTTGAGTGCCCCAAAGTCGGCCAATGCGTCTATTGAGTGCCCCACCGTCGGCCATTACATCTGTTGAGGAGAGCCCCAGCCCCGGTGTTCTGGAACCGCCCCAATGGTGGTATCGGTCTCGCAGATCTACTGCTGCAATACAAAAATATCTCATTCTTTTACCTCACACTGTTATGGGTACAAATATTGTATACGAATTCTTTGCATTTGGTACATTCAAGTGAGTGGATCATTTGGGTTTCACGCCCCGTTGGAAAGGAGGCAACATTCAAACGATAATAATTCGTTGCAGGCATCAGTGAATTTCACCTGACATGAACTCTTATTACCAATGACCTGATCCCCAGTTTCCCAGAATTATAAATACCATGTTACTATCCTCAAGTATATACATGTACTTCCTTTAGGTTGTTTCATTATGAATGTGTAAGTCTGATCTCTACACCCACCTTTCCCCTGTTCTCTACACCCTTCCCGTTCTCTACACCTTTCCCCTGTTCTCTACACCCTTCCACTATTCTCTACACCCTTCCCCTGTTCTCTACACCCTTCCCCTGTTCTCTACACCCTTCCCCTATTCTCTACACCCTTCCCCTATTCTCTACACCCTTCCCCTGATCTCTACACCCTTCCACTATTCTCTACATCCTTCCCCTGTTCTCTACACCCTTCCCCTGTTCTCTACACCCTTCCACTTTTCTCTACACCCTTGCACTGTCAACCTTGTGACAGGTATACTTTCCGTTCCCTTACACCCTGGGCTGTCACCTTTCAAAGTAAACTGAATTCGATCCCTGTACACCTTTCTGTACAGTGTTTCTGCATAAACTGCCACGTCTGCATGTCTGTAACGACTGACAGGAAGTACAGAGACAGATGTGTCTGCTGTGATCATCAGGACAGCGCTGGCGCCCACACTCGTGGAATGCAGATGGATTCCATTTCAAGCAAGAGATACCGGTCCTGGAACCTGCCGATATGTGTGTGTAGAGTTGCCGGTGTTTACGGACTGGTTCGACGGCTGCTTATATGACCTTGACACTGAAGGCAGTGCTGACAGCTCTCGCGAGAGTTT